GGCATTCTTGCAAGATCTAGGGGATTTTGGTAAAGACTGACCGTCTGTGAAGCCAAGCCCATTGCAAGATCCCGGGGTAAGCCAGCAGCCACTCCTCCATCCGCTAAGGCTTCGATGGCTAAGAATACGTAAGCCGGACCACTTCCGCTGCAAATTTTTCCAAGGAAATATCAAATATGATACTTTCACCTGTTTACACATTCAAGAAAAACCCGACTTTTTTAGTTGGATGATGCGGAAAAGTGATGTACCTGAGTCCTGTGACAGCATCGAACAATTTCTCATCAGCTCTCCATATCTTTCCCACCGATCCAAACAGCTTGGTGACCAGTTCTCCGTCCTCTTCAGTTGCCGCTGCTCCGAGGCTCATAACTAATTGACCGGAATATCGTCAGAACCCTCTAGCGAATAAACTATTGGAGAGATACTACAATTTTACCTCGGTAGATAAAAAAGGGTTTATGGATTTATCGGTGAATCCATGATGAACATCAATAGAGCAGTGACAAGAAAGAAAGAAAAAGAGAGCTTATTAACTATACCTGTTGCCGCCTCACCAACAGCAGATGGTGTGTTTGGCATCACCCTTATGAATCGATCGTGACCAGACCATTCCTAACAATACACAGAATCCCATTTCACATTTTTAGAAACCGAAATCTGAAAGCGATCGACAGTGAAACTTGTGATGCAAAGCACGGGTAAATAACAGAATTTCCAACGGTTGGAAGTACTGTCATTTGTAAATTCTAGGGAAAAAACATCAGATTATTATCAGAATGATAGGATTGAAAAGCTCTGCGTACCTGTAGATCTTTCAACTTTGTTCCGGCTGCCACAGAGACTAAAAGCTTTCGCTTGGAGAGTTTCGGTCTTAATTCCGTGACCACACGTTTGACTGCAAGATTAACCCGTAATGCTTTCTTAACGCGAAAATCCTCGAGCGGAAGGATATACACCAAAAGTTTCGTTTGTAAATCAGATAGACACAGAAAGAAATGAAGGAGACAGAACAATACCAACTTGGGGTTTCACGGAGAATATCACGACATCACTTTCTTCAACAACCTGTCACTCGGGAGATCGTGAATTCGATTAATCTTGTGTCGGAAAACGAATTAAAACACTTTAGCCCAAAAACTTTGAAGCTATGTATGTATTCTCCTAACTTGAACAATAATTTGCATCTAAAAGCTTTGAACAAATGAGTTAGCATCTATCTTCCCCCTATGCAGGATCTTGACACAAACTAACTAATAAATGGACATCTGGGATAAAAATCTTGCTCAATCAGACAACCTAAATCAAGGAAAAGGTCCTTCGTTTCTGCTGCACCATCTCAGTTTAACAAAACAAACCCATGAATGAAACTCCAAACATGTAATGGGGTGGAATTTGAAACTCCTGAAAGGGTTATATGCATGACTACCATGGCGATTGATCGAACATGCATCATTTTCCATTCAAACAAACACGAACTTCGCGTGAGATCAGAGAAACAAAGGGAGAGGGGATAGATAGATTCTTACGGCTTCATTGCTCGAGACGACATTGACGCCGAACGATTCGAAGACAGCCCGGCGGTCGGGATTCGAGTGAACGGCGGTGGAGATACGGTTGGGTGGAAGAATGCCCGATCTTACCACCCCTCTCGCGATGCTCTCCGCCATTTTCCCGGCTCCTACGAACCCAACCTTGTAACTCTCCACCGGAATCGGAACTATCTCCATCGGTATTTTCAAATGGATCCCCCCCGAGAAAAACTCCGACAAGTCGAGCTTGAGCTGCAATGGGTAGAACCTCAAGCTCCCGCGACGGCGACGAAGTAGAAGTCAAAAGCTCGCCACTAAGGATTTCGAAGAAATAGGGTTAAACAGAGACCCCCCGTCCGAGGTTGTCTTTTTTTCCCCTAATTAAAAAAAAATCAAGACCTGGTTTGACATTCCGCCGGCTAACCGGTTGTAAACCGGTTCCACTGGTCCGGTTTAACAACGCAATCAGTCGGAAGATAGAAAGTCGCCATCACATTCTTCAACACGCAACAACGGGAAGATTGTGTGATCGCTAGTTAGTAGGCTAGTAAGCTACCCTCCGCCATGTCCGTATAACTCAAGTTTGACCCGATCCTATGGAACCCACATGAAAAGATTCGTCATTTACAAGAGATCGGCTTGATAATCGATGAAACGGAGAGATATCAGAGGCAAAATTGGCCAAGTTATTCAAGTTTGACTCGATTCAACGAAACCCACCAGAAAAGATTCGTCCTTTATAAGAGAACGATCTGATTGTTGATGAAACAGGGAAATATCAGAGACCTAAAAAATGGCCAATTTGTTCATAAAACAAGCTGGGGAATATGCGGCGGCTCGACCCAATTATCCGACCAAACTCTTTGAGTTCATCGCATCCAAGACGCCATGCCACGACCTCGCTTGGGACGTCGGCACAGGAAGCGGTCAGGCCGTTAGCTCGGTCAGTTCATTCTCTTCTCTCACTGCAATCTTCATATTCGATTTCGCGTATTGGTCTCAATGTAGATTTCTACTCTCAGCTCGCTAGGATCTACAAGAATGTCGTGGCCACCGACACGAGCCCTAGCCAGCTTGAGTTCGCGCCAAAGCTTCCCAATGCTCGTTACCAACTCACTCCACCGGTAATGTCCCTGTCGGAGATCGCGGGTCTCGTGGCGCCGGAATCATCAGCCGACCTGGTCACAGTCGCTCAAGCCCTACACTGGTTTGACCTACCGACTTTCTACGGCCACGTGAAACACGTGCTCAAAAAGCCCCACGGAGTCTTCGCGGCCTGGTGCTACACCAACCCGGAGGTGAATTCCGCCGTCGACGAGGTTTTCCGGCGGTATTACAGCGAGAGCCTCGGTCCGTACTGGGACAAGGCGAGGAGGTTGGTGGAAGATGAGTACAGGAGCATCGAGTTCCCGTTCGAGGCGGTGGATGGCGAAGTGTCGACGGAACCGATGAGGTTTGCGGCGGAGAGAGAGATGGGAATGGAGGAGTACATGACGTACCTGAGGTCGTCGTCGGCGTACCAGACGGCGAGGGAGAAGGGTTTGGAGCTTTTGACGCCGGAGATGGAGGCGGAGTTCGCCGGTTCTTGGGAGGAAGACGGTGAGGAAAAGAAGGTTGTTAGGTTTCCGATCTTCTTGAGGATCGGTAAGGTCGGAGATGGTGTCTGAGTCTCTGTGTTTGAAGATCTGTAATAATAATAACGGTGTGTCCATGAGGCATTTATCAAAGGAACTGGATTTGAAGAAATAAAATTGGAGAAATTTCATCAAACACGTCGCCTGCAAGTGCAAAGCCTATCATCGTCCAATTCCAAAATCATTAACCAAAAAAAAAAACACACAAAACCCATGCCCAAGAAGCAACCAAACATCACATCACATGCGCAGATCCAGCAATGACAAAAACAACGGACTTCAAAAAGAGGAAAAAAAGGAAACCTGTCAGATCGCCAAACGACCACCCCAGCCGGGATGACCCCGGGCCGAGTAACGATCCTCTACAGCCAGGGAGATGGACCCGAAAGGAACAACCGCAGCCGTCAATCACGCTCCGATCGCACGGCCAACATTCATCCACCAGGTTTGAAGTCCTGTCTCCTTTGAACTCAAGGATACAGAGGTACGAGCCTATAGAACAGATCCTGTTCAAGTAAGGTCGTGCCTAACCGTTGAGCTTCTCTTCTTTATATTCAAATAGTTAATGTCATAAATTGTCCGATGTGGGATATGCTTTTCTAGGTGTCCCAATACCATATATAATCAATGTCGTTAAGTTTCCCAGTTTATGTTTCCACACGCATATAATGCCAAATATATATTTGGAAATCAAAGGTAAAAAATTATATATCCAAATTATTTAGTTAAGAATTATTTCTTTAAATAATTCCAAATATATGAACTTAGAAGAAAAAAGTTAGCAAGGTCTTTTAATTCTTGTTTATATATGTATATATCTGACAAATAAATAAAATAAATTAAACGAGTGGATTCACAAAGCAGCCGCAAAACAGTGAAGAAAATTTAAATAGAATCACGTTATACTCATATGCATGCGCATTGGGTCGGTCCATGGGTGGGTCATTTCCTCAACGCTGTGATGTCTGCAAGATAACCTGGCCAACGGAGGTAATTACATTTTCTATTTCATCTTTTTTTTTCACGAAACCCAAATAATTTTATTGAATTATTATCGATTATTATTCCGGCACTGATTGTTAGAAAGTATTCAAGCACGTGACGACTCTCCCAAGCACGATAATTATATTGATTTATAGTTTTTTTATAAATAAAATAACCGAATCCGTATATAACTAAAGCGAATCTAAACCGAAATGATTAGGGTTATAACTTATAAATATATTTAGTGTGTAATTAGTTATTGAGTTGTAACATTTCTTTTGTCATCAATTATAAATTTCATTTTAGAGGTACGTTTTTGTCGGGAAAAAAGTAGAATGATAAAAAAAAAATAGTAGCAAATTTTGAAGGCAGCTCTCTTTTTGTTCCGATAATTTGTAATTTTTCTGTAGAAATACTGGATTTGTAGATCGTAGGCATGGAAATCCATTTCAAACACATATACGGAATTGTAATAACAGTTAAATAAAATAAAAAGACTTTGGAAAAGGATTCCCGAAGCCTTTGGAATTGTAATAACGTAATTACACTTTATAATAAAAATAAAAATAATTCTTGATTGCTTTTTTATCCATATGTTTGTGGTCGAGTGCCTCTTCCGGGTCAGGGGTTCGAATCTAGACATACGGAGAGGGAGAGACATAGCGTGTGTTCAAGACCTAATATTAATCGATATGACACTTCGTGCATCTATAAATTAAATGGGAAACATCAAATCTGTATTTGGAGATATGTAATAATGATAATGGTGTGTCCTTTAGGCATTGAAAATAATAAATTAAAAAAAAAGGAAGAAAGGAAACCTGTCAGATCGCCGAGCGACCACCCCAGCCGAGTGAGACCCGGGCTGAGTAACGATCCTCTACAGCCAGAGAGATGATCCCAAAGGAACAATCGCAGCCGTCAATCACGCTCCGATCGCACGGCCCACATTCATCCACCAGGTTTGAAGTCCTGTCTCCTTTGAACTCAAGGATACAGATGTACGAGCCTATAGAACAGATCCTGTTCAAGTAAGGTCGTGACTTACAGTTGAGTTTCTCTTCCCTATATTCAGACATTAGTGTCCCAACTGTCCGATGTGGGATATTTTGTCCCTTTCCAATTTTAGAAAAATAAATGTTACCTCAGAACCTAGAATACGCTCAGATCTGCCTTTTTTATTTCTCTTTTTTTTAATGGAAATCCGTATCATCAAACTTTAGAAAATTTTAGTTAAGTTTCCTTTCTTGAAATTCAATTACCCAATTTTTTTTTTGGATAAAAAGGTACAAATATAATAAAAAAAAAAGAGTTCGTATACAAAAACAAAAGAGAATATCTATGTGCCTCTAAACACCAATTACCCTGAGTTTTAAATCCCAACGCATATAATTAAAACATATGTGAGATGAAAGTGGACCGTATAATAAGAGACTGAGACCAAACTCGTATGCTATAATTTGTTATGAATATATTTATTCTATGTAAATATTTTCTCGTAAAAATTTCTCTAATATAGTTATTGTAATTTCCATCTCCTAAAATCCGTATAGAGACGTTTAAAGACTAAAGAGTAACAACCGGATATATTTTTTTATTTATAAAAAAAAAACTGGTAATTTTTTTTATATTTTTAGATGTGATTTTATAGCCTCTACAATTATTATTGTTCGAATCATTTATTTAATAGAAACATAATTTTTCAAAGGATTTGGATATGTATGGAAACACACATAGATATTTTAGACATGGATCATCATTAAGAAGATAGATAACAAAGAAGATTACAAAGCATGAAAATGATTTATGCATATTGGCTTGTCTTAATCTAATTTTAATACAATATATTTTTAGTTGAATAAATTATATTTGTGTAAGAATTTGGTGACGTTGAATACGCCTAAGTTCACACATTGCAGGATTTGGGGGACTGCAAGTTGCTCTGTATGTAAATGATCAAACCAAACCGAATGGTTATAGTTTTTAAAAAATTATCGAATATAATTATATTCGATAATTTTTTAAAAAAATTGAATTTTTATCGAAACCAAACCGAAACGAAAATAACCGAATCGAAATTTATATAAAAAATGAATGGTTATAGCTTTTCTATAATCGAAATAACCGAACCAAAATATAACCGAACCGAAATCTAAAATGGCCACCCCTAGTTTTATTGAGCATCACCAAATAATTTTAATTTTTTATTTTCTTCCAGAAAGTAAATCTTCTAAATGAAAACAATATAAAAAAAGTTATTTATTTATTTTGATTAGCTAGTAGTATCTCACGTTTAATACAGTGTACGAGAGTCGAGAGTGGTCTTTGGTCATACCCGACATTATACGTGAATGCGTGTTACCGTCCACGACTTCATAAAAATAAAAAATTATAAAACATTTATTCTTAAATGCACCGTCCACTATTATTAAATCCATAAAAAAAATAGATTTTTTTATTGATAATATATATAATATGCAGCAAATTATTCTACACGCCAATTTGTTAATTGCTAGTATACTATTCTTAGTCTGGTTCATGGCTTTATGAAGGAAAAAAAATTGAGAGTTGAAATACATAATTAAAAATTAAAAACTGATTTAGGTACTATAATATTTATATTTTTATATACGTAAACTAAATATATATGCATATATGTGTATAAGGAACAATTATTTCATGCAGGTACAATTAGTTGAAATGAACTTCCATGTACAAAGTGATGAAGAAATTTGATCATAATTGTTACATGATTTAGATATTGTAATCAACCGAAAATATATGCTATCGATGAATTTAACTCCTCTTACAATGCTTTATGTATTTTATTGAACTATATGGCCAGACAACAATGATTTAATTCATGATGGTTAATTGAATTACATTAAGAAAATATAAAATTTGAAACAATCGCAACTAAAACTTAATCAAACTAGTTTTTAATTCTATATATTAAAATTTTCGTGTTATAATTTATTTTAATTATTGTAAGTTTAAATTTCCCCAGAACTTAAATTTTTATATCTATGAATATGACAAATTGTATTTTAATTATTTATCTACTCATAACCGACATTGAATGTGAGTTTTATTTATCTATCGTGTTTTAGATCATGGATGAAAGGGGAAAAATTCTGTTTTAGTTTAGTTTTTTATTTTTGTTATGGTGAAGGTTGAAGTTTAAATGTTATATTGAATAAATACAATCAATTCCGAAATAATCAAATCAAACTATAATAAAACGTAATTTACCTTTATTAAAAAATTAAGAGATTATATTGAAATGGTAAAATTTTAAATTTAAAGTATAGTGATGTGTCATCATCATCATCATCATCACCATCACCATTCACCCATCATGATGATCATCGCTGGAGCTCCATCATGCGAGAGAAGTCATCGAAGCAAACATACCCATCTCCGTTCCCATCGACGGTCGCTATCATGCGCTGGCACTCTTCTAACGTGCACCGTTCGTCTCCGATTACGGCGAACACTCGGTGCAGCTCCTCCGCCGAAATCCTCCCGTCGCGGTCCGCGTCGAAGAATCCGAACACCTCCCTCAGCTCCCCCGCCTCCATCGATCCCGCCGCCGAGCTTCCCGCCACGCGGTTCGCCAGCTCCTCCAGGCTGATGCAACCGTCGTCGCCACCGTCAACCACCCTCAGCATCATGCTCACCTCCTCCTGGCTCGGCGGATCGGGGCTCAGCCTGCTGAGAAGCGCCGCGAGCTCGCTCCTGGAGACCATACCGTCGTCATCCCGATCGATCAATTTAAACGCCTGAACAAGCTCGGCGTAAAAATCGCGATCTCCGGCGGAAATCTGGGACCAGTCTCCGGAGATCTCAGGCAGAACGCTGATAGGCGTTGAGGCGGGATCGGGCTTGCGGCGGCTTCCGCCTCCGTAGGATCCTTCGGATGAGGAGGTAGAGGAAGCGCCGGAACTGAAGGAGGATGGATCGGAGCGATCCTTCAGGCGGAAGAGGCGTTTGGGGCTGAGGCGGAGGAATTTGGAGGTGATGACTGGGACGAGTTTCATGGCGATGGCGGAGGAGGAGGAGGAGGAGGGAAAGGAAGGCGAAGGGGAAGGGAGAGTGGTTGAGAGGAAAGAGCAAGGAAGGGAAGGTATTAAAAGGAGCTATGGCAGCTTCCGCGAAGCTTCATTCACAGTTATGGTGTTTTGATACTTGTACCGCCATTATCAGTTTCCGTGTTAATTATCTTCTTTAAAAAAAAAACAAATTCCACAGAATGTCTAGTCAATTCGGTGATTAGACTACCACTAAATTACAATATCTAATTTCATTTCATTATTAATTTCTGATAATGATTTCCTAATCATTATTTTAAAAACGGATACATACAATTGATAAATTTCCGCTATTAGTTTTTTCTATGGTTGTACTTTGTGTTATATATTTAGTTAGGCTTAGGCAACGACATGTGGTCTCTCACCCTTTTAATTGAGAACAATAATAATTGTACTTTTTAAAGCACGAATTTTTGGCTGCTTAAAGTTAAAGATAATATAGTAATAATAGATTTATTTTTAGTTACACTTAATTTTTTTATATGACGGATATATCAGGTAATTATCCGGGTTTAGAATAAAGACACACTAAAAACTATTTAGATATATCCGATTAGAAGAGACTGGACTTGTCAGGCCAAAAAGCCCAATAGGCCCAATTATGAGTTACTAACACCTAATTGGGCCGACCCTTCGACCGAATCCAAAGAAAGAAAAAAAAGCAACAACTAGGAAGAAAAAGAAACACGACATATGAAGTTTGGGAAAACATTACAATTTGAAAAGGACAAGGAATGAAGTGAGACTTGAATACAAAGCAAAGACTGCCTTTCGTCTCACCTGTTTCACGAGTAGATACCAGTAATCAAAATTTCGACCAGAGTTCTCATTCTTCTTCATCTCCATCTTTCTTCTTCTTCTTCTCTTTCTTCTTCTTCTTCTTCTTCTCACTCTTTTCTGCTTCTGCTTCATCTTCACCATTTGCAGGTTCCTCATTCTCCTTGCTCTTCTTTTTCTTCTTCTTCTCCGACTTCTCGGGCTTGGGTGAAGACTCATCGTTGTTCTTGTGATCCTTTTTCTTCTTCACCTTCTCCGCTTCCTCCTCTTCAGACCCTTCTTTATCCTTCTTTTTCTTCTTCTTCTTCTCCTTCTTGTCAGATTCTTCTTCCTCTTTCTCTTCTCCCTTTTCCTTGGCCTCTTCTTTGGTTTTCGATTTCTTAGCTGGAACTGGAGCAGGGCTATCACTGCTTTCATCCGATTTTCGCTTCCGCTTCTCCCCACCTTCGCCATTCTCATGCTCGACCTTCTTCTCCTCCTCGACAGCCGGGGTTACCTTCTCTGGAGCAGCAGCTATACCAGCAACCATAGCATCCCCACCCGGAGGCAAAACCACATTCCTCAGCCACTCTTGGGGAGTTTTCTCGTTTGGCTTACCATGCTTATTCAGCTTCCCCTCAGAGATAAGCTTCTTCTTCATCGAAGCCCTAGGTCCCAGTCCCCACTTCCTCGGGTATGTGTCTCTGTCCATCACCACTCGCTTGATCTTAGCCACCACACCATGATCACAAGTAGCCATCACAGCTGTTGTCATTTCCGCAATCCCGATAGCTATGGCCTCACCTTTCGTGGTCATAAGAACAACTTCTTCACCAACCTCAATGTCGTTCTCAAATCTCAACAATCCAGGAATCATCAGCTTCGCACCATAACAGATGGCATTCACAGCAGAATCCTTCACGACCAGCCTCTTGTAGCTAGTCAACAACACTTCAAGTGGCATGATGGCCCTCCTAAGATAAGTCTCATCCCTATAATTATCATACATCCACTGGGCATCCATCACATCATGCATCGTTACCATGTTATCTCTCTCACCCAAAATCCCAGACCTTACCCTCCTCAACTCCTGCATATGCCCTCCAACCCCTAGAAGCAGACCCAAATGAACACACATGGTCCTAATATACGTACCTGCCTCACAGGAAACCCAGAAAACAACCAAATGCTTGTCTACATCATACTCGAGCAGCTTGCTTTCGTATATTGTCCTGATCCTAAGTTGCCTTTTCACGGCGGAGATCAGAGGCGGCCTCTGAAACACAGCTCCAGTGAGCGTTTCGAGGGCTCTAGCAACCTTGGCGACATCTGGGACAGAAGAGTGCAAACGGGCAACACAGACATACTCTTTGCCGGCACCTTGCTGCGATTTCACGAGCCGTGTGGCTCGATCGATGCATACAATGAGATTCCCAGTGACTTTGGGGTCGAGGGTTCCACTGTGACCCGTTTTCTCGACACGGAGGATACGTTTGATCCAAGCAACGACCTCATGAGAGGAAGGGTTGGCAGGTTTGTCGAGGTTGATGATACCGTACCTGATATACTCTTGCAAGGGCCGTTTCAGGGGAGAGAAGCCGGACGGGAGAGGAGTGTAGTGTCCGGTCCGAACGTTGAGGCGGTCATAGTTCTTGAGGAGGATGGGCCACTGGGACGTGTCGATGGCGGGAGTGAAGCTCTGCGGCTTGATCATGAAGTCTCCCGCGTCGGCGTTGGCGCCGGCGTCGGCATCGGTGACGGAGTCAGCATCTGACTTCTTCTTATGCTTCTTCTTCTCCGACCGGGAGATTTCGACCTCCGACATTGCTTCTACGGATTTAGGGTTTTGAGAGGGTTTTGTTTGTCACAGAAGCCGTCGTCAAGCCACAGGGTGAAGCGCCAAGAAATGGGGATTTATAAAGTCTAGGGTTTTAGGGTTTTGGGTGAAGATGGAGTTCCCATTCTCTGTAAACTTTGGGCTTTATATGGGCCTTAAGTAAATCCCATTGGGCCACAACAATGCATAGGCGAAGCCCATCAATTGGAGGCCCATTGTAACCTATTGAGTTCGATTTGGTGGGCTGGTCTGGGCCTGGATTGAGTTCGATTTGTTCGGACCGATAAGACTTCGGGTAGTTTCATAGGGCTTAGAGCGGGCTCGAATTGGGTTTCGAACTTTTTTTTATTAATAAAAAAATATCTTCTTTCATCATCGAAACATAATCATAACAATAATATAATAATATACGTTTACACAAAAAAAAATCAACAAAAATTCTTTCAAATTAATTGAACAGTTTTGCTTCATAATAATATGACAAATTTTATATCGAATAAAAACGAAAACGTATACAAGTGAATGTTGGAGGATAGACGATGACAAGATTTTAAGGCAAAAAAAAAAAAGGGTTCAGTTCTTATACCCAACCCGAAGCCTAGAGGTGTCAATCGGATCAACCCGACCCCGCACTCGATCCAAAAATTTCGGATTCGAGTTCAGATCAAACCAATATTTTTTTTTTCCGGATCTATATAATCAAACCCAAAATCCGATCCTATATATTTTGGATTTCAATCAGACCATATCAGGTCGGGTCGGACTCGTTCGTTCAAATTGTTGTAAAGTTATTTTTTCTTTTTTTTTTGTTAATTTTTTTTAAAAAAATATTATCGGACTTTCGGATTAATCCGAATTGAGCCCGAAAGCTCGATTTTTTTCTACCCAAAAAACTTAGACCGAAGCCTGTTATTTTTCGCATGGAGTCGGACAGGACTTTGGACTTTGGGCATAAATTGATACCCTTAGATCTAACTCATTTGGTCTAAAGCCTAAAATCTTAGGCCTATATTTTTAGGTTCCAACTTTATTGTTTGGAGCAAGTTTGAGTCGGATTCCGAGCTTCAGACTTCTTTGGTATATCCCTAACGGTGGATGTATGCGAATCCAAAATTTTCGAGTCACCTAATCTCAATCTTGAAAACAATTCGATTTCTCGATCAAGATTATTTACTCTTGATTTAACGATAATTAGGTATCCAAGTTTTGGATATATGTGAAATTTGATGAGAATTGAGATATCGATCGATGAGGAATGACATCAGAAAGGATTGAGAATAGAGAATGTTATCGCTTGATAAGAAAACGAGAATAGAAAACAAATTCGAAAGAATATTATAGGACGTGCATTTCACTACAGTTCTTCATAATTGAACCGTACTAAACCGAAAAAATATAATATTTTCGATCGGAACTGTTCAAATTCGCGAACGGTATTATTTTTAGAAAATCGAATTTTTTGGAACCATACCGAATTTAAAGAAACACAAAAAAAAATATTTCTAAAAAAGATCGATTTTTTTTAATAAAGCGAAATCGAATCGAGTATGATATAGTAATTGATTAGTAATATTTTTGTAAAAACGAAAGAATCAAACTGAATTATTCTCGAATCAAATCCGAACCGAATACCAAAACACCTACCCTTATAAAATATCGATTTGAGGCGAGGGCCCAGGACAGAACTACGAAATCGTTCGTGGCCGAGGTGGTGCTGTTGCACATGGTCGCCAGACTCCCCACACAATTTTACAAACAGTAGGTATAATAATTTTTTTCTTTTTTAAAATTTGATTATAAAAAATATATTATAATTCTTTACCAAAATAGATTATAATTAATTTTGAGGCTCTATAATTTTTTCATTATTTTATATAGGAATTTGTCTTTTCTTTCCATACACGTGAATTTATATATTTCATTCTACATTAAAAATATTAGTTGATGTTTAACATTTAATATTATCAATATTTTATTAACGCTACTATTTAATTAAAGTTACGATGTAAGTTTTAAAAAAAATCTATCACAAACTTTTAAAATTTTAATTTTAATTTTTTGAAAACGTCATCTTTTTAATTATATCTATGGCAAACCTTCAAATATTAACAATATTTTATTTTTAATAGAGAAATATCAAAATATCATTGGAATAGAATTTATTATGAAGATATAATTGATAATTTTTACTTTAAACAAAGCTCGAGTAAACTATGTTATTTAACTGATCGTTTGATATGTTGATATTATTTTTTTCATTTTTAAAATATGAATATTTTTCTCATAATAGAAATAAGGAAAGTTCAACTCACAAATTTTTAAAAATTAAAATTGAATTTTAATATTATTCCAAGGAGACCAACTCCGTTCAAACTTCTTCCCCAAGTAAATCTCATAGACCCCAGGAAAACCCTAAGCTCCTAGAACTTCCGTACACACACAACACGTGTGTATATATATATATATATATATATAACCCCCCAGACACAAAGGTACGGAGAAATCTTACAACGCTTGAGAGTTCTCTGAATATTTTTATTTATTCCCGAAACCGCCAAAAAAAAAAACAATGATGGGTCTTCTCCAGTTCAAGTTTTTTCCGACAGATTTCTATTACCCACGACCAGGTCCAGCTCAAGATCCCGGTCGTGATGCCAAGCTTGCGGCTCCCCCTCCCTCGATTCAGATTTCTAAAGACTCGACTTCTTCTTCTCCTTCTTCTGTTCGAAAGAATAGCTGCGATAATGGCGTTTTTCATCTCGTCGACGGTGATGAACAAAAACGACGTGGATCTTTCTCTTCTTCTTCTTCTTGAATTTTTCTTTTTCTTTTTTTTTTAGTTAAGTACGAATGAGTTTTCAGGGTTTTCTTCTTCTTCTTCCCTTTTTAAGATGTTTCATATTATTTGAGGATAATATCGTTAAGTTTAATTGTTATTTATTCTTATTGATCGTTTAAATACATTACATAAACTTTTACGGGGATTCGAGTTAATAGAAAAATTAAATTTGATCAGAGATGTAGTATATGTGGTAATCTCTTCTATATATCGGTTTTATTTTGATATGTGGGATTTGGTTCTATAATAAAAGTGAAATCAGTAAAAGAGATTTGCTTGGCTCATTAAAAAGGTTGTTTTCTTTATTGGTTCTATAATATATATATATATATATATCATGATAAAATATCATAAATTCATATATATCTCTAATAAATTGTGAATAGTGTGATATAACCATATGACCAAGATAATATTATGATCATATTGATAATAATATGTTTTGAATCCATTGCATATAAGATACGACATAGTTTTGAGTTTGCTAGTTGCCACCTACAGCAAAACTCTCCTCTTGACTTGATAATGTTGATGTCGATGTTGATTGATAATAATATTAAATGTAATTATAATGATTTTATCAAGTGATTAGTGTGATATATAAAATGTGATCATGATAATTTGGTGTGATCGTTATTACAAATATGTGTATATGTAACTATATTATCACTTTGATCAGATAATCATATTTGAAAAAGGATGAGTTGAAAGATCCCTAATAAATTTTAACCTTTGGAGCTCAATAATGGACTAAACTACATATCAATAAGGGGCTGTTTATTTAGCTCCCGCTATTTCTTGAATTAATATATATTTTAAAAATCATAATCAATATAAAATTAATCCAAAAAAGAAAAATATTTATTTATATCTTTATTTAAACCTGAATTCGGATTAAGTCAAAACAGAAATCAAAATGAATAGAATCTAATACAAAAACTGAATAAATTTAAAATTTTAAAATCCGACATCTCAATTCCGAACGGAAACACAAATGTGTGGAAGGATGATGAATAGAAACAATCAGATCATAATCTTGCTGGTGGTGGGGCCTACTTTGGCTTTTCTTGGATTACTTACCGCCTAATCTCGATTTACGGAAGTTAATTATTTTTAGAAACAAAATCAATTCACTTAATTGCATGTTTTACGTCCTGTAATAATTAACAACCAATAGAAACGAGGAAAGTCAAACCAAGCCAACAGTAACGCGCTAGCGCGTGGACGTCCGGTCACGGTCATATATTAACCCCCCTCGCCATCGTAGCTTATGGTGAATGTTCATGACCCGTTTCGTTTCTTGACAAAGAGGGCGAAAAATCTACTCGACGAGAGAGATATTTTCTCCGCTTAAGGTAAAAAATATTGTTTATGTTTTCTCTCTGTTCGATCAACGCCTCAACGGGAGGGAGGAGGCGATCTTTCGTTTGGGTTGGATGTTTGAATTCATGGATTCTGATGGATTTGTTCGGTGGGGTGGAATTTTGGAGAAATTTGAATGCTGAAGTGATCGAAATGTCTTTCGCTGCGTTTTTTCATTGGTATTGTTTCGAATTGTATGGATTTGACTTGTGTCGAAATTTCCTGGTTCCTTGATGAGTTGATTTCGACGGAGATGGAAGACCGATGAAGGGGAACCGGAAACGGGAAACCTTTCAGATCGCGAATTCGAAATTACTATATCGTTACAATCTTATTACCGAGTGGTCAGATCGATTGTTGTATGCTTCCGTTTCCGGATCCTGAAATCAATTTGACCTAATTGTTCTGTTATCCTCGCTCAGATTGTGGACTGGGTCTTGTACTGATCTAAGTTCTTGTGGGTACAGATCTAGAACGGAGTTCGAAAAAAGGCAAGGAGCGAGAGGAAATGGCGCGGTCAAGGCTGAACCCAGATGCCGCGGTCTTCGTCCCGGCTGCTATTCAGCAAGTGGAGGATTTCTCTCCGGAGTGGTGGCAGTTGGTCACAACCTCGGCATGGTACCGCGACTACTGGATCAGCCAGAACCAGGGCGAGGATGGGTTCTACGACAATGGCGAGAATGATAACTGATGTACTGCCCGAACCATTCGATCTCGACACCGTCGATGGCTTCTTTGACGATTCTGAGTTCGACCCAGAAGAATTAGAGAGTATGTTGTACCACCCGTCATCTGACATGGGTCCAGATTCGACAGATCTCTGAGTCAGCTCCTAATATCATTTTAGGGTTTATGCATCAGGCCTGGTAACCTCTCGCCTAGTTTGCTTTTGTACCTTTAGCTTTGTACTACCATTATTTGTAGTTTAACCTCTGTTGTTCATTCTCAGATTCCTCTCCCGTTCCCAAAAATGTAAAATTCCAAATGAAATGAGAATAAAGATTGGCTTCTTCCTCAGGGAAAATCAATCCAATATACCAAATGTGTAGCACCCATTTCAGCGATACACCCCAAAAAAAATTAATTTTTTTTTTTCAATTCTATACCACTTTTGGATTTAAAAAGTCCGAAATAACTTTTTTTAATATTTTTTACGATTTTATTACGACTGTTATATAATTAATATACGACTAAAAAAACATTGTTTACGACCGTATAACAACTAAAAATCCTGTAAATAATTAGATGTATTTTTTGCCACCTCATTTAGAATCAATTAGAATCAATTGCAACTGTATTTAGAATCAATTAGAACTTTGCAATTATAATTACACGGTTTTATTAAGGTAATATGCTCTTTTCGACAAAAATTTAATGGATTATAATTTTTTGGGTGTATCCATAAATGAGTACGACAAGTTTGGTATATTTGAGTAATTTACCCTCTTCCTCATCCATCTTTCTATTGTGTTTAATAACAGGGATGATCTGGTTCTTCCTTCTCACTTAAGATGCGATTTATTCACTCTCTTCCGCATAAATTTCCCTCCTTATTTGAACAACTGATTCGTTCTTCTTTTCACTCAATCCTGATGGGAAAAGTGGAACTCTTTCCGGAACCCTCCAATGGAAACACCGAAAATATCCCGAATTTTGACGGAAAGTGATGAATTACCTGAGAAAAAGAGTGAAATTTCGGATGCGGGTTTCAACGGAAATTGCGAAAGCTCTTGTCTTGAAACTTCGGTTCCGCACTGTTAGGAGCCATCGTTCCGCAAAACCACCATTTCTCCGACCATATGAGCCGCGTATTAGCAGAACGAAACGTGTATTCCCTTGTCGTTATTCACACCCCGAAGGCGGGAGGATGAAATTACTTAAATACCCTTGTTTCCGTCTATTTAACCTTGCCCCCTCTCATCCGCAGATTTTCTTTTGTCTTTTGAAATCCCCGCTTTGGAAATCAAAATGGCGCCAAAGCGAGCATCGCCGGCGAAGTCTTCTCTCTACCCGATCGGCAAGAACCCCGAAATCATCATGAACGCATATTAATCGGCGGATCTTCAATGTTTTATTGTGTTGTTAGCTTTATTTTTGCTTGAATTTTGTAGGTGGTTGCGATGTTGTGGTGGAAGGTAAGAAGTTCACCTGCGAATCTGGCCCGAAAAGTCTCCAGATCTCTTTTTCCGGAATCGACAGAGTTAGAATCTCAGGTTCGTCCAGAACTGTGCTTTTCCGGCCACATGTGCGATGATGTTGTTTGAGGAATATTTCTCCGCTTTTGGAAATTTCTAGGTCTAGTTATACGTCTAAATATTGGGTTAATACTTAACAGTAGATGCGAGATTGGTTTTTACATGATTGGTTTGATGGTTCTCATCTGTAGTGAGGGAAGGGATGAACACCGAATCTGAAATGTCCACGCCACTGTCAAAATGTGTAGCAAAAGGAAGACTGATCTCTTTTTTTTCCCTTCTGGATTATGCTCAGCAAGTACTTCTTGTATTGCCCGCATATGTTCTCTTGTATAGTTTTTTTAATGGATCCGATGTATTTGTGCAGCTATTGAAAATACTGTTTCCACTTCTCCAAAAGACTACACGTTTCTGCTTCTTAATCCGAGCGACGATGATGCCTTTACCAAATCTTATCTTCAGGTGAATGATTTCCTCCATAGCGAGTGAGATTTTTTGCTTGAGGGATTATTATTTAATGCATGTGCAGTGTTCTTTCGGTAACTCACTGTAGCTTAAATAGCTCCATTGTTCACAAGGGCTTGTGTCATATCCTTCAGGAAGTACTGAAGTTATATGTTAAAGAGCTACCTGGCATGAATTATGCTGCAAACACAGGAAAGCAATCAACATTCCTCGAGAGATGCGTGTCAAAAGGGTACTCTGCATTTTAATACCCTCTTAATTATGACGTTTCTTAACTTGTTTGAATCTAGGCTTTTATGTTAAGCAGGATTACTGTTTTCATCTTAACTTAAAATCATCGAGGATGAAACCTGTTTGGTTCAGCATATCGGTTAGAATCAATCTAATGTGTTGTCGACAATCGAATTCATCTTGCAGAAAATATTGTACATTGATTTTGAAGGCCATGCTCAATGGAGTTTCAGACGAGGTAAATAAGCTTATCTACTCTTGTTGGTTCAGCAAAGAAAAAATTGCAGGTTAACAATGGTATGCTGAAAGTGTTGCTTACTTTATGTCTCAGAATTCCTAAATCAAAAACAGCAGAACTTGATTGATGATTTTTCGCACTTAAGACTTAAGAGTTTGCCCTTTTGTTCCTACATAAGAGACAATCTGTTGAGGGTTTAATTTGCTATCGAGATGTTATGCTTCTTTTACTACATCTCTGATACTACAGCATTACTGCCTATTTCTTTTGTAGATCATAGCTGCAATCACCTACCAAATAGTCCCAGCTGATGCCCACTATGCTGAAATACCTCTTGCTGCGGTCACATCTATATACCAGAAAAAGGTTAGTGTGACTGTGATCTGAACACTGGCGCTTGTATGTTGTACCTTTTTCCTTAGTGCCATAATCTAAATATCCTCCATTAACATCTAGAGTTAGAGAAATGACTAGGGTCTGATTTTAAAGTCTTTCTTAGAGGCCCTGCTCAAAAGAAGAAGAAAAAGCCCCATCTGCCGAGATTTCTGGCATGCTAGGTGATAAATGTGCTTTAAAATTGGTTGATCTTTCTCTTGTGAAAATACGCTAATTGACAGACTACCTGTAAGGAATTTTACCACAAGCTAATCGACGAGTTCTTTATTTAATTTTTTTATAATTGAACTTTCAGCATTTTGGTAAGCTTATATATGGGGAATTAAGGAAGAGGCTTCAGAATGTTGGTGTTCGTGCTATATTCTGCTGGGCAGACAAAGAATCCGAGGGATTCTGGTTTAAACAGGTGATCGTCGTGTATAGTGTTTCTAAGACTTCTACCAAATTGCGTGTCATTGGCATAAAGCGGAACTATCTTTTGGAATACTCCCACCATGGCATTTTAATAACTCTTCAATACTTCTTCAGGGTTTTATATCAATAGCAGAGGTGGACAAGAAGGGTAAAGCAAGGAATTTGCGCATTAAGACTAATATTCGGAAAGCACTATGCTTTCCTGGTGGTTCGACTCTTATGCTTTCTCATCTGAAGAGGGAATCTTCTGTTAATCCTGCAAATCTCGGGAGTTGCTCTTCACGATTAAATCACCGCGATGAATCTCCACTGTCAGCCTATGATAATTTTGCAGGTCCTGCGACTAGGGGTTGTGACAACCTTCTAAAACCTGGGGAGTCACTTAAACCTAGAGAGGGATTTGCTGAAAATATAAATTTTGACCGTAAGCTGTTCTTCCTCTTATATTTTAAGCTCCATGTAATTCCTTCTTCTTGCCTGCATTGCACTTGTTAATTACCAATCCTGAAGCAAAACCGAGGTTTAACAGATGGAGAAACTCGTACAGGTCTCTCTGGTAGCAGAGGTTCTGTTGACTCGCCAACAGGAACCGAATGCCACAATATGGTCATTGATGAAGCCACCACAGCTGATGGTACTACCAATGGATCCACACAGGGTTTAAAGCGGACATGGGAAGCTTCACTCTCCTCTCTACAATCCAAAAGAGTCAAGGGAACCCATCGTTGTGACTGTGAGTTAGATACTGTTCCAGGTTTCAGCTTAGGAAGAACGCACAAGCAACCGGAAGATGGTTTTTTAGGGACTTCTAGTGACGATCCCCAGACCATTATTTCGAAAAGAAATGATGATGAAGAATGCAGGGAATCTAATCCAAATAGAGTAAACTACAGAATTATGCTGATGAATATTGGTGATGACAACAAGAGAGCAAGTCTGACAAAGGTATTTCTTGGAATCTTGTTCATTGTTTGGTAACAACACTCGTATGGCTCTCTTAATATATATTTGTACTTGCCATTCAAACAGACATGAGTAAAAAATCTTTGTCCAACAAGCTTTAGTCACCATACATGGATTGTGTTTCGGTTTCTACCGCATGTTTATGACATGTCTTCTGGTATTTGCGTCCTTTTTTAAAACAGGTCATAGAAAACCTAGGTGGTGTTGTCACCTCGGAAGGCAGCATAAGCACACACGTCGTCACAGGAAAAGTAAGGAAAACGCTGAATTTCTGTACCGCTCTTTGCTCTGGGTGAGTCTTAATTTGAGAGATTCTTCTTGCTTATTATGTGTAAAGTTTGTGTTATAAGTGAGAGCTTTTCCTGCTGAATGCAGAGCATGGATAGTGTCGCCGACTTGGTTAAAAGAAAGCTTCCAACAAGGCAGTTTTGCTAGTGAGATAAAAACAACACTTCTCTATAGATTATTTGACACAAGATATCTGAATTCTGTGCTGACATTTGTTGTACTGTAACAGATGAGACTTTGTACATATTGAAGGATGAAGACTATCAGTTGAAGTACCGAACTGAGCTGAAAAGGGCGGTTCTCAGAGCAAAAGCTAGACCGAAATCATTGCTTAAAGGATATGACATATGGATAGGAACTCACGTTCAGAAGGCGGTCGGAAATTTATCTGCCATCGTTCAATCTGCTGGTGGAAATGTAAGTTGTTACGGATTCTTTCTTCCTTTCTTCCGGCTAATTATCTATAATTACGAGCCCTTATGATACAATAGATTCTCCTTGAATCTCAACACACTTGGGGAAAGAGAGGGATGAAACCGAGATTCTATAATGTTCTAAGGTTTGTCGGATTTGTCATAATGATAAGATTCTGCTCGCTAATTCAGGTGATAAGAGAAGTGGATAAGGTATGGAAAACGATATTGATAGCGAGCGAAGAAGACATGGAAGAGGGATTGTCGGCTGGGAAGGTAAAGACATTCAACAGTGAGTGGTTGATGAATTGTGTCATGAGACAAGAACTGGATCTCGAAGCTCCTCAGTTTGCGGAGTCCTTGTAAGAGAGATTGAGTTCCCTAAAGAGGTAACTACTCTATTCTATAAAGTATAAATGGCACTTTGTGTAATTTATATTTATGTATGTTTTCCCTTTTTTTTTTTTTTAATTCTCACTTCCTTTTTGTTTTATGCATTTTTATTATATTCATATGCTTCGCTGGCACCTTTCTTAGCCAAGAAAAGAAAATCAGAATCCGGATGTTAAAATAAATAAGAGAATGTACAAACAGAAACAAATAAATAACTAATCAATGAGCATAGGATAATTTAAATGTTATTATTATAAGATTCCGGATATGATTTTAAAATATGTTATCATTTTTTTTGAAAATCATTTTAATTAATTAAATGAAGCATTTTAAAATTCTAAACCATTTTAATGAATGAAATTATAAAGCATTTTAAAATAAGATTGTAATGACTTCTGTTTATCCTTTCGTTGATATTACACAAAAAGAAATCCATTTTTTAAAATGAATACTCAATTCTCAAGGAAATTTGTATTTTTTCTCTTTTCTGTATATATATATATATATATTTATACTCCGTACAAACAACACACTTATTTTCAAAGAATTTTATGAAATTTTATAACTTTCCATCTTAAAACAGAATTTTTTAAACTTTCATTTTGAAACGGAATTTTCAACATCGCAAGGACATTTTTATAACAGTTGAAATGCAATCAAACCCCTTGTGGATTGATATATTGATATTTGATAGTAGGGTTGGGAACTATATACATTGCGATTGCGTGCATTCTTTCTTCGAAAGATTTTCAAATATGGTAAATCGATTCCTTACACATTCATTGTGTCCAACTCCACACAATTTCTAAACATTCATTTTTTTTAATGGTAGAAATTTCTTGTTTCATTTTTATAAAAAAGGATTCGACAATTTCGACCGATTAGGATCCTTATTTCATATTTATATGAAACCCTTTCTTCGTGAAAAATCCTACATGATGAAAAAGGAGCCAACGTGGCATAGATCTATTGGTTAATGTGACGCCGTAGTGAACAGTATACTTTTGAACGTCGGCGAGATAAAGCTGGGGAGCATATCCAGAGGCGGGCTAACGAACAGAGATTGAATGCTCCATGGCAGCTCGTAAGAGAGCTTCTTCTGTGACCGATTCGGCGGCGGACGATAAGCCCCATAAGAACCCTTCTTCCGGCGAGGATTTCCGACTCTCGCCGCCGAAATTGGGCGCGATCCTCGCGATCTCTATCCTCCTGTTCCTGCCCTATCTCTACCTTCTCTGTTTCCACTACAGGGTTGATAACGAGCTCAAGCGATCGATCCTCATCAATGCGGGGCTTAGCCTGGTGGGATTCTTCGTCACCCTCAGGATGATCCCCGTCGCTGCCAGATACGTTCTGAGGCGAAGCATGTTTGGTTTTGATATCAACAAGAGGGGCACTCCTCAGGGAGAAATCAAAGTGTGAGTTTTTTTCTCGATTTGATCTCTCAGATCTATTGCTTTTTGCTTCAGGGTAGTATTGATTTCTGAATCTGATTTTTGATTTTTTCTTTGCAGGCCTGAGTCATTGGGTATTGTTGTCGGCATTGTCTTCTTGATCGTTTCAATAATATTTCAGTACTTCAATTTCACAGAAGATTCGATTGTAAGTGTGCTGTTCTTAAGAGCTTTGTATGGCAAGTGTTACTTACTTTTCAGGCTATATAGTTTTATGAGATGATTTTGCTTACCATTTTTCCTCTCATTTCCTTTTCTATTTCTTCTTGTTCATGTACAGTTCCTGCCCATCTGTTGTTTAGTCTAATGTAATGTAGTATAATGTTTGCTTAGATGGATATATTATACTATGCACTTGGTAGATCTTGGTTCATGTGGGCTGACACATTTCCGTAGCATTGATCATCATCTGGCTGATAAATTCTGTGCAGTGGCTCGTGGAGTATAATGCAGCGCTAGCATCTATTTGCTTCATGATTTTACTTGGATTTGTGGATGATGTCCTTGATGTACCTTGGAGAGTGTAAGTCCAGATCCAGTTACCTAACTTGTCTGGTGAACTTCTTCATGCTTGACATTCTTTTTATATTCTTTCGTCTTTTTGAACAACAGGAAACTCGTCTTGCCATCTTTTGCTGCGCTTCCGCTGCTGATGGCATATGCTGGACACACAACTATCGTTATTCCGAAACCTCTAGTTTCATACATTGGCTTGGAAGTTCTTGATCTAGGTACAGATTCCTGTACATATAACCATATCCACACAATGATATTTGTATTTTTTTCCCTTTTAAACCGGGCAAAGAATTATGTTTTGATGTGATAGGATGGATGTATAAGTTATATATGGGGCTCCTGGCCGTCTTCTGCACGAATTCTATTAACATTCATGCTGGTTTGAACGGCCTTGAAATTGGTCAAACTGTTGTTATTGCCGCTGCTGTAAGTTCTAGTCTTACTATGCCTTCGAGTTCTTTTTTTTTCTCACTTGTTTCTTCGGGTCAACACATGATGCATCTCAGTTATTTGTAGATTCTGATGCACAATGCAATGCAAATTGGAGCATCTGCTGATGCAGAGTATCAGCAAGCCCATGCCTTCTCTATCTATCTTACTCAGCCACTTATGGCTACATCCTTGGCATTGCTTGCATACAATTGGTAGTTATTTTTCTTGAAAATTCAAGTTTTTCCTTTGCCTAAGTAATACTTTCTCCGTCCTTCTTCACCTACTTGTCATCTTTTCAGGTACCCGTCCTCAGTTTTTGTTGGAGACACTTACACTGTCTTTGCCGGAATGACTATGGCTGTTGTTGGCATTCTGGGCCACTTCAGGTATATTTTGAAGCATATTATTCTTCGTTTCTGATTCACTCAATACGGAATGCGGGGGCCAATTCTGTTGCTGATGCTCATACCAGAACATACTCTTCTACTTGTCAAATCAAAGATCCACTTGTGTCTTGGATGCTTTTTTCTTCATTTATTTGAAGTTTGAACCCGGAATTTCTTTACCAGATAGTTTCAGATTCTTTTCTGTCATGCCAGTCTCTTATTGAAGCATTTATGTGGGGTCTTTGCTCAGATTTGTTATTTGCATCACATGATTTGATCTGTCAGCAATGCAAACTGACTCTGCACTTTCTTTGTGAAATTCACTTTTGCAGTGAGACGCTTCTCATATTCTTTCTCCCCCAGGTGTTGAACTTTCTATTGTCCCTTCCCCAGGTTCGATCTTATAAACTTTGATCCATCATACTTTGATTTGTTCTTTTCGAATCATTTTAGAACAAGAGCAGCATCTAACATACTCTCATCAACTCTCCAGCTTGCGGGCATTGTGAAATGTCCAAGGCATCGTCTCCCAAGGTATCTACCTTTGTGTTTTTTACAGATACCCTTTTGAAGATTGATGCTTAATACAACACAATACTCCATCTCTAATGGAAAATCCAGGTTTGATCCTTCTACCGGATTATTAACGGGGACAAAGGATGGTACCCTAGTCAACGTCTACTTGAGGATATTTGGTAGGAAGTCGGAGAAGTCTCTTTGCATCCATCTTCTCGTTTTCCAGGTAATTTATATAATCATGTCCATGACCATTGTTGTTTATAATCCCACAGTGTACTTCCTTCTCAATCAGTAATCCCTTTGAACACAGGCTCTTGCATGTGCGTTCTGTTTCCTGTTGAGACACTTCCTCGCTGGGTGGTACAAATGAATCTGCAAACATGAGAATGCTCCACTCGTGCAATTTTCTTCGTCTCTGTTTGCCTTGAGAGTAGATTTAGAAAGGGGGTTCATTACAAAGTCAACACACAGAGGGTATTTTGTTTTGTTTGTACCATTTATTAGCGATGTAGTTTTTGTTAACTGACAATAGGGTAACAACTGGGGTGGGGAAAAAAGCGAAGGTATCTTTTGGATTTTGATGAAGATACAGGAAAAAGGATCATGAAACTGCGTGTCCGTACAATCCATCAGGTTTCACACGGAAAGGCATCCAATGATTCTGACAAGCTAACTCTCTAATCCCTCGAGATTCTATGTCATACGTTTTCTTTTTTGCACAAAAATATAGTCCTGATTTCAGGAACTGGTTTAGATTGGTACCATTCACTAATCAACATCCATTGTTTCTCCTTGGCTGCTGCTGGTCCAGAGCTTGATGGTACGGTCATGAGAGACTGTTGCAATGTAACTGCCATCTGCAGTAATATCCAAAGAAGTGACTTTTGCAGTTTTGCTTCATGCCCTGTTAAGGTTTTCACATGCTGGAAATCTCGGCCTGACCATATCTGATAGAAGAACGTGGAAATGGAATTACACGGGGGTAGGACGACCAGGAGAGCAATGAAATCGGGAAATGGACTGCACAAATTATACCTTTACTTTCATGTCGTACGAGGCAGTGGCCAGGAAGTATCCCACTTGTTGTTCAAACTTCACTTGAGATATGAGGTTTGAGTGAGCTGGTATAATGTACAAAGACTTTCTCATTCTTAGATCCCAAATACGGCTGAAGTTATCCTCACCACCTGATGCCAAGTGATAGCCATTGGGAGAAAAACTCACTCCAAGACCTGAGAAAATGCAGAAATAACAGATGACCAAAGTATCAGTAAACAAGCAGTTGCTGTCTGGAAAAGAGGATCAGGGAACAAGATCTGGCCTTACTGGTTTGATATGCTCTTCAAAGGCAAGAATGCTCCTGCCAGTGTGGAGATCCCAAACACAAACAAGTGAATCAAGCCCGGAAGAAGCAGCTAGTGATCCATCATGATGAAATGCAATCCCGTAGACACTTCGGCTGTGGCCTTCTTGAAAAAGTAGCTCTGCCCCTGTGTTTATATCCCACAGCCTCCATGTTTTGTCAAAGCTTGTTGTGCCAAGGTACTTACCTGATGGGTAGAAGGCAATACGGGCTAGACGATCCAAATGACCACCAAAACTTTGGAGGAGCGTCCCATTGCTCTTCCACAACTTAGCAGTTCGATCTGCACAAGCAGTTGCTAGACAATCGTCCACAGGTGAGAACACGACATCTGTTGCACGCTCTTTGTGGTCCTTTAGGACAGCAACCTTCTTCGTGACTTGAGGCATCTCCCACAATTTGGCAACTCCACTCAAAGAACTAGCAACACAAAAAGTTGAAGAACAAAAGATGAATTTTGTACAGATTTTAATCCAGTTGGATGCAAAATGCCCTGGATATGGAGAGAAATGTACCATGTAGCAAGTGTTTTTCCATCTCTCGAGAAGCAGCAGCCAGAAAGAGGACGATGATCCCCAAAGTTACTGCTGTCGAGGGCCATGCCTTCAGCATGCTTCAAAGCCCGGCATTCATATCTTCATCCGGATCATCCCTTCTCCGCTTCGCACGCTGAAGCCTGGCGCCGGCCCCTGCGCATAGCAAACTTGGCAATATCCATTCTAGCCTCTTTAAGCTCTGGTGGACCCTCGGTATAAAATGGGTATTCGGGTATTTCATCCTCCTCTCCATCTCTCATGAGCTCTCAATAGTTTATCCAATTGCCCTTCAATGTCAAGCCTAGCCAGAAGCTGTGCCAACCTGGCTCTTCTCTCCATTTCTTGTTCTCCAAAGAGAGTCATGGGTTCACCGAGCCGTCTCAGACGAGTGAGTGGCGAACACGAGCGTCGAGCGGGAAATGATCAAAATGGTGCGAGGCATCATGTGGGGGGTGATTAATAACCGAATATATATGAATCTATCAAAAACTCGGAATTCAATATGAATCCATCCGAAAAATATCAGATTTCAATTTAAATTTATCGGTTCAAAAAATTCGTTTCGAGTCAAGTTCAAATTGGATTCAGTCCCACCGGACTTCGTATTTGATTATATAGGCTCGAATCCATTCGAATCCAAACCCGACGTAGATATCTAAATATTGGGGACATTTAACAGAAGGTGTTTCTAAATCTCTGAGAGAGAGATACGGACCGATAATCAGAATCACGATATATTTCTCATCTGAATTGCAATTTCCTTTGAACCCAAAAACGCTCATCGAAAATCACTCCTCTCTCCTCATTTTCTCGCTCACTTTCTCAGTAACCAAACAGGACCATTCTACAAATCCCCCGTCTACGATCACGAAAGCTTGCCGCTTTTTCGCCATGGCTGCGACGAGATTTTGCCAAAGTTAACGTCTTTTTTTTTTTGCAAATTACAATTTTGCATATCGTTTTTTCGTGATATATACACGTGTATGTGTGTATATAAATACGCGCTACTTCACTCTTTGGGCGGACACTGAGACAGGAAAAAAATTTCGAAAACCCCAAAAAAACCTTTTCGTTTCTTCTTCTTCATCTGTTTGAAAGAGATGTCAAAAAACCCTAACGGTATACATTCTGTGTAGACGGGTCTGTATACACCAATATAACCTGAGCACGCAACGAGATTCGTTCTCGGTAGAATCTAGATAAAACCCTAAATTTGATTTTTTGGTGAGTCTCGCATATTGGTGGATGCCTCCTGCGGCGGTGGAGATCGGGTCTCCGATTGAAAACTTCTCTTCTTTTCGAGATTTCGCCACATTTGTTCAGGAGAGTTGTAATTCGCGCGATCAACGAAGCATGGATCCCTCATCGCTGTCCTCAGCGGGTATGGATAATGGAAGCAACTTCGGTTTCGGAGCTGGTTCAGGTCCGAGAGCGAAGAATCGAGCGAGGCCAAGGCTGGTGAAATTGAGGAAGCATGGTGGGAAGGTCAGAGGAGCCGATCCCGGTGAGACCGGGTCGGGTTTCAACCCGTTTGCGTCGTCTGGTACGTTGAGAAATGGTACTTCTGATACATTTTTTTTCCACCCTTTTAGTTTTCTTTGGATAATGATTCTGATACATTCGTGCCATCTTTAGGCGGTGTTCAGGTGAACAAGGTGGATGATAGAAATGGTGAGTTATCTGGCAATGGATGCTTTGTGTTTGGGGCTAATGGAAGATGCTGTGCAGAATCTACCAGTTCAAATAATGCCCAAAAGAATAGTTTATACTCTGATGCTGTTTCTGATAAGGATAAATGTAGCAGACCAATAGGTGATTCTTACTTCAGTTCTGAATTCAGAAAGGAACATTCAGATGGGGATTTGTCAAAGCCACGGTGCAGGAATCAGGAGAACAACAAAGCGTGTGGTGAAAACGGGTTTTCTGCTGCGGAAACTACGCTCAGATCTGAGAGTGGTGATAATGGAAGCCGGAAAAACGGTACTTTCGTGTTTGACAGCAGCAGTAAGAATTCGGACAACGTTGAGGAGAATGCTAGAGGTTGTAAGGACAGCACAAAGATACCAGACAGTGAACTATGTACTGATACTTGTGGGAAATTTTACTGCACTCAGACTGAGGATGAGAAAGCTACTGATTACAGTCAGGTGCCTGTATCAGACCTACACGATGGCATGAAAAAACTTAACATTAGTGATGCTGAGAAACCGAATGAAGCCAACAACAGACCTGCTTTTGTATTTGGTAGCTTTGGAAATGCTAATGTTGACAATAATGAAGCTAATACTCCGTCGGGATCATGCTCTTTCGGTTCCAATGGATTTTACCCAAATGATGATGATGCTGTGGAAGGTCAACATGATTCTCATGCCGAAAATAATAATGGGAACTTTTCAACAAACACTACTTTTGGTACTAGTGTATCTTCTAACACCTTTAAAGTACCCCAATGGGATCCTTCTTCACTTAAGAACAGTCTGTTTCCAGAAACGAGCAAAACTCCAGTTGTCATTGGAAAGAACCGCTTGTCCAAGCAAAAGAGATCAAAGAAAATCAGGGAAAAATTGAAGCAAAGTAAGCAGAATCTACCTCAAGATCTAGCTTCAGATGCAATTCATTCTCAAGAAAAAATCAATTCCCCTGGATATTGCTCACCCATGGATTTCTCTCCTTATGATGATAGTAAAGCCAGTAGTCAATTTCCAACGGAAGCTCCTTCCACATCAAGCAAGCTCTCCAACGTGGGAGTTCAGGAAAATTCTGGCTTTAGCAATGATGTCAATACTGCCTTAGCAAGGGATGCATTTACCTTCTCTACAGAGGATCGAGGAAATAATTCCATGCCGGCATTTTCTTTCTGTCCAGGCTTGGGGGATGAGAAGGGTTTTACCTTTTCAGTATCTACATCCCATGGGAAAGTACCTCTTACGAAGCGTCAAACTCAGAAGAAATTTAGAAGGAAAGTTAATAAGAATTTGCTGAAAAATGATCCTACTGTGCAAAGCAAACAGGAGACTCGATCTGAGAGTGAAGTACAAGCCAAACAAGACCCAGGATCTACATCAGCGATGCCAGATGCATGTGAGATGTGGCGACTTAGGTATCTTTTGTTAACTCAAAGCTTTTCCATCAGGGCTTTAAATTATTTATTTGTAAGAACAGAGATAAACAGTTTTCTGTGTTCTGTATACTAGGGGGAATCAAGCCTACAGAACTGGTGATTTGCATAAAGCTGAGGATTGTTACACACAGGGTATTAAGTCCATCCCTCCAAGTGGTAGTTCTGAATCCTCTGTCAAGTCTCTCGCACTTTGCTATGGCAACCGGGCAGCAGCACGGATTTCTCTGGGAAGATTGAGGGAGGCTATAAGGGATTGTGAAATGGCTGCTTCACTGGATCATAACTTTGTTAAAGCATATATGAGGGCTGCAAAGTAAGTTTGAGTAATACTCGGCCTAGTAGTTACTTCGTTGTGATTCATGTGAATCTTATTCTTCAAATAGACGAACTACTTTCATGTACATTATGTCCAGATATCATTATAGCACTCACTGTATAGTTTATTTATATTGTTTGCTTAAGCCTTCAGAGTTTAGTTGGAATGAGGGTAGGCATTCTCCAAATTTTAGTTATGAATTTGTAGCTCGGTATTGATGCTCTTTTCTTTTGTCATCCTTTCAGTTGTCATCTTGTGCTGGGGGAGCTTGGCGAAGCAGTGCAGTATTTTAACAAGTGTTTGGAAACTGCCTCTAGTGTATGCTTGGATAGACGAACTACTATTGAAGCAGCTGAAGGTTTACAAAAGGCTCAAGTATGAATTCTCTCTGAGCTATAGTATAATGGTCAACTTACCACGGTTTCTTTCCATCTGTTTCTAAGTCGTTTCTGGTAGAATTGTTTGGATGTGTATTCTATCCAAAGTGTAATGCAACATATTGTTTTTGTTTCTATCACTTGCAGAGGGTAACTGACAGTACGAACAGTGCAACCAAACTTTTGGAGAAGAGAACAACCGATGCAGCATCTGAAGCATTGGGTCCAATTGCCGATGCCTTGTCCATTAGCTCATGCTCAGAGAAACTTCTCCGAATGAAAGCTGAGGCCCTATTTATGGTTAAGTGTCCTTTCTGTCTCATTTATTTAATTTGTTTCTGTTGAACATGAGCTTTCCATATCAACATTTTGAATTTTGCAGGCGCAGCAATATAAACAAGTGATTGAACTATGTGAGCATACCCTTCATATAGTTGAAATGAATACTGCTTCAGCAGGTTCCATGGATTGTTTAACAAGTCCTGGTAATATGAGGTCCAACCATCGCTCACCCACAACAGTTTGGGGATTGAACTTGATATCCAAGTCACATTTTTGTATGGGAAACCTTGAGACGGCCCTTGATAAATTACAAAAGCTACAGCAAGTGGAATCTAGCTGCGACAAGTAATCACCTTATCTATGCAATAGTAGATTTTACTGCTTTCTTCTTGGATATATTAATTTTATGGGGAAAAATCTGAAATACCCAAATTTTCACTTTTGGTATAAAGCGGTACTGTTTTAGATAATTGGTGTATTTTTACGATTTTAGGTAAAGTTAGTTTGGATATTTTTGGTTGGAAGAGATAATTTGGGTATTTTTAGACCAAAAAAAAATGAAAAATTGGGTATACTTAAGTTCGCTCCCTGATTTTGTTTGTGATACTTTCTGTGCTGAATGCTGATATCATATATTTTACATTTTAGGAATCGGGAAGGCGTTTTTGACTCATCAGCTTGTCTAACATCAACCATTTCTGAACTTTTACGTTTTAAGGTATGCAAATCCATAGGATCTATGGCGAGTGTTCATCCTTTCTGAGTTGTACAACTTCAATGTTGTCTCAAGTATCGTCCTTATTGATATAGTGTAGTGTTCTGCCATGAATTCCTTCTGGAGAAAGAAAAAAGAGAATATTTTGGACTTTTGTCTGCTTGCAGAATGCAGGGAATGAAGCTGTTAGGGCTGGAAGGTACTCGGAAGCAATAGAGCATTATACTGCTGCACTATCCAGAAGCGTTGAGTCACGACCCTTCGCAGCAATTTGTTTTTGTAACCGTGCAGCTGCAAACCAGGCTCTGGTCCATATCACCGATGCAATTGCAGACTGTAGTCTTGCCATGGCTCTTGATGCAAACTACACAAAGGTTTGTTGGCTTTTGTAACTTGTAACTAGTTTATATTCATGCATTAACATTGATTTGAATGGAAACACTTGGATTTTTTTTCATTTAAAACCCCTAGTTCTGTTATGTATTCCAGTGGCTGCAGACAGACGAACTTGATTCATTTCTGGTTTACTACATAGCTTTTCATGACAATGTTTCCCTTTAGTTTGGTAACAATCAAGTTTGCATGTTTCTTACACCAGTGTCCTGAACATTGCTGCCTTTAAAGATCATGTGGTTTTGCTCTGTTCTCCTTTCCATTGTCCTGAAGCATCCAATTAAGCTTTATTCTCTTTCCC